TTTTAAAGGCAGAAAATGGAGCCACGTTATTGGTGGGAACATGGCAACGAGAAAAACAAGAATAAATTAGTCGAATGAAAAGCGTTCGTTGATCCCTGTCGGATTTAGACTGCCGGTTTGAAAGATGAGCTTCACTTAGTCACGGGACTTTTGAACGTTAACCAAGTCGGGGAACAACACTTTTAATTATTTAAAATTTTGTTAACAGGCTGGAGAACGATGGCCAGCCTTCAACTTGCCCCGTGGATAGAGACGCTTTAGACAGAGACAAGGTAAATGTGCTAATTAACGTTCCCTTTGACCGACAGAAGTGTCCACATCAAAGCTACGCTTACATCTAAAGTCCTTTTAATACCGAGTTTAGTTTGTCGTACCTCACAAAAACAGCACAGAATAACTTGAACTTATTTTGGGCTGTAAAAAATTAAATCGATCGATGGAAGGAGATGAATCTGCGTCAAAGACGTCACCCCCACATTGTCGGGCAGAGGTCATTCTAGCATTAGCTGTGGAAGCCCATAGTTGTCTGTTGTCCTCAGTTCTCTTAGAATAAAGAGCATCATAAAATTAAGTCGTGGAATGCTGATATCTCTACTACGCAATTAGGATAAAGAGCATCATAAAATTAAGTAGTGGAATGCTGATATCTCTACTACGCAATTAGGATAAAGAACATCATAAAATTAAGTCGTGGAATGCTGATATCTCTACTACGCAATTTGAGTAACAGCCTCCATCGACTGTTCCATTTCAGAGTGAAAAAAGCATGAAGAGTACGTTAGATATTTTGATATTCCTCGAGGTTAACAACAGTCTTATTTTGAGACATCAACTATCATTTTCATGTCAAGTGTCTGGTTTCTCTTTTAGCCGGATGTCTTCGCAGATAAAGCGGTAGAACGACAAATACTTTTCTTTGTTATTAAATGTCCTTGTGACGGTTGCCAATGGACTGGGAGACTGAGGAACAAAGAGGTAAAAGCGGAATCACATTGATCTTAGCGTTGTTTGATAGTTATCGTATATGTCATTGGATATATCTGAAGATAAGATGAGATGAGATTGTTTATTTATCCACATAACGCCTGGGAGCATTTAGCATACCCGCGCTCGTGCATTTACAAAATATTGAAAATAATGAAAATTACATTTACCGTAATTACAATTACCGCCGCCCAGTTAGCCCAATGGACAGTGCGCTGGACTGTTGTGAGGGAGGTCGAGGGTTCGAGCCCCTGGGGTGGGATGAGTGGGTTTACTGGGCCCGCAGTAATTGGTGCAAGCTGTTGCGGTGTCCCTGCCGGTCGGCGAAGCTAATAAACTAAACATAAGTATAAAAGACTAGAAATGTATTTAATGTTTCTATGAAAGACTCACCTCACGGCCTGTCTTTTCAAAGTCATCACCTGTACTTACGAACACTGACATGAGACCATCCAACCGAAAGAGCTCAAAAGACAAATGACCCTTACGTTTTTGTGGAGGACCTCTGAATGAGAACACTGTACAAAGCCACACCCAGTATGTCGCATAAGTGCTCAGGCATGGACAACAGGCTCGCTTAGCTGAGCAATCACAGCACACGCAATAGCTGAGGATTACTATGAAAGATATTAAACTTATATCTTTCAGGATCATATTGGGACGTGCTTGAAGTACCCGGTCACCTGTCCTAACAGCTGTGGTCTGTCAATTCCAAGGGAACTGGT